AACTATCGTAGTTTATTTATTTTATTATATATATATATATATATATATATATATGACGCTTTTTTTTTTTAAATTCTTTAACGTATGCATTTGAAAATTATAAATAATTAGGGATACGATGTATGTAAATTAAATCAAAATATTCGAAATATTTTTATAAATATAACAATTCGATTGCAGATATTGTAGTTTCTATAGATTATAGTAAATTTCTAAAATATTTTCGATAGTAGTGAATTCATGTTATAGATAGATATGTCGATGTATATGTCTATAGCGTTTAGAAGCGACATCTGTGATTTACAGGCTAACCCTTGCTGCTCACAAACATAAGTTACATTTAAATCTAAATAAATGTCATATAATGAGATTTGTGATGAGATTTATAGTAGTGTTTCGATTTGTAAATTGAATTCTTGCATTCATTTATAATACTTGTAATTTTAGGTTAGGTTTTGAAGTTAATAATATTCTACAATAATTGAAATATATTTGTAGCAAAGCGTTTAATCTGAAATTTGGATGCGATATTATTTTACATTTTTATAAGAATTAATAACATTCAAATTCATTTTTTTTTTAAATTATATGTTATATTTTTTGTCGTAGAAAATGAGCGATATGATTTATATTTTAGTTTATTCAGAAATATTATTATCAAATTAATATTAATATTAAATTTACAAATTCACTTTGGAATATATTGCTATAGTTTTTTTTACGATTTTATATTACACTATTCCCATGCTATATTATCTTCATCGGTAAATACTTGGTAATAAAGCTCGATTTTCATTCAATATCTTTTATTGTAATGCGATGAAAGTCCAGTGGCCTTTATAATTGCTTGCAGCAAGTGTAAATCGATCGCTACTATGACGCCTATTACTTAGAACAGTGTCTATTGTTCATAATAATTATTTTTTGTTTTATAATGATTCAAATGATCCGAAGGTCGATGTACGCTTTTTGCTTCAGTTAGATATTTATTGAGATTTAACGAGATCTGTTTAGTGCGTTTGATGAATATTTTTAACTTTGATTCAAGTTTTTTTTTTGTTTTTTAATATCTGTTCTTTTTTTCGTTAAAAATTAAACATTAATATAAATTTTATTTTAAAAAATAAGGTTAGCATGTGATATAGCAAATTGAAGATTAGAGTTAATAAACGAATTTAAAATCTTTAATTAAATTTCTTATATAAATATATTAAGCATATATTTGAAAATTAATAGTAGAAACGAAGCTTTGTACAAATAAGTAATTTATCTTTTTAAACTTATTCACACAAAACAGCCCACAATTTTGAATTAATTTAAAATGAACAGTTATTCCAATGTGTATATTTTGATAGCTACTATTTTATCATTACACGCATACATCCACAAGTATGTTTTACTCCTAGACAAAATTCTTTTTCCATTCAGTTGCATTTACTGTTTCTTGACTACTACCGTAAGAAAAGAACATGTCAGTGGATGCAAACACGAGACATGCATTGGGATGAGTAAAGTATGTCATGTTTGTTAAAGAAATATGTACAGTAACCTTTTGCGTGATCCATGAACTTTCATCAAACATTTACAAACCTCTTCGACGGGAGAAAAGTTTAAAAAAAAAAAAAAAAAAAGAACGTATTTATGGAAATATATACATTTCTTTGGACCCCTAGCGAAAAGAGAAAGTAATGATATATTGTCTAAGAAATCTCTTACACAGATGTGTGTATATAAATCTACTCGAGGTTGAAATATGGAGTTCCATGTCGTCCTCTACATTGAACATTTTTTAATGCACGTTGCTCCATCGCGAATTATGTCAATTATAAAACGTGTATATCGCGATCCACATCCCATCTCGCGTTATAAATATTTATAAAGCAAAGAAATTTGTTGAAGCGATAACAGTTTTACAGTTGATAAAATCTCGTAACGAGTCATCGAATTGTTTTATCTGCATAAAAAAAAAATGATAGACGCGTTACAAAAATACAAGAGGGTGTGTATCGTTTGTAATTTATGGTCACGATTTTCGATCAGAGAAAGAATTTCCTCTGTTTTTTTTTAACCGAACACGGGGAGATAAAAAGAATCAAGGTTTCTTTATCTCGTCCAATACGAAAAATTCATCTTTTTGCCATTCGTATCCGTGCATAATGTATATGACCGATTATTCAGAATCTCAGTGTGCTCGACAATCTTAATCGCGCTGCGCAAAGTTGGCATTATTCCATTCTGGTCATTTGTCACGAGCAAGAGTTGATACCGGTAGTGCGAATAGACGATTCATGTAAATCCGCGAACCAAGCGGTTTTCATATTATTCTAATTGGCAAACTTCTCTCTTCTTTCTCTCTCTCTCTCTCTCTCCTTCCTTTGACTTCTGCTTAGAATTTATGAACACCCTTCTTGCACCGTGGTGCATACGTATAAATCCTGTCGTGTAACGATGATTTATCGCGTGGAATCTTCTTATGCTTTCATTTATTAAACTCGTTCCGTTAAAATAGCGGAGTTAACGGTACTTCGTCGATTACCAGTTTTCTGAATATCCAGAAAATCCTTCGATTTACTCTCCACTTGACATATGGTGGAATCTCGTTTATTCACGTTATCTTTGACGCGCGAACAAGTTAATGCTTGGGTTAAACATATGGCCAACTTATAAGAACCGAACTAATTAACTTCTCTCTCTGCAAGATTCTTAATTTTAGAAGGAAACATATGATTAGTTGATTAGTGATTGGTTTAAGTTTTTCAAATGATTAGTTTCAATGAAGTTTATGATTAGTTTGGATTTCGCGTAACATTTCCTTTCCTTCACGGTTTGAATTTGATAGATTAGATAAGATTTGTTAAATCTTTTTTTCTTGCTAATCCTTATCATCAATCATATCAAGGAAAAGGAAATTTATCTCACAAGTTCAATTATTGTCCTGATTGAAATTAAATTTGGCCATTCGTAGATAATATCAAACTAATCCATATTAATTTGATATTTCAAAAGGAAAGATTAATCAATAATACACGACTCGAACAATTTTTCTCGACGAAACCCCTTTA